GTGTGTGTGTGTGTGTGTGTGTGTGTGTGTGTGTGTGTGTGTGTATGATGTTTCAGTTTTTCCCTCTTCAGGGCAAAGTGAGTTATGGCTGGACTGGACACAGTGAGTCTTCCACCTCTATCTCATTCTGTCATTTGCATCCTCTGTCCTCACTCCAACTACCTCCACGTCCTCCCTAAATGCATTCATATATCTCCTTTTAGGACATTAGCTTTGTAATTGTCCTGGCAGTTGCATTTCTATCATCTTTCTACCAATGTCCTAGAGGCTCAATGGGATTTACCTGTCTAAATAAAGGTTGAATGAATGAAATACCCACTGTCCCTCCTCTGGACATATCCAAACCATCTCAGTCTGGCCTCCCTAACTTTATCTCCCAGGTGTCCAACCTGTATTTTACCTCTGATGATCGCATTTATAATCTTATCCATCCTTGTCACTCCTAAGGAGAACCTCAGCATCTTCATTTTTGCCATTTCCAGTTATTTCTCTTGTCTTTTTGTTAATATCTCTGTCTCCAGACCATACGACATAGCTGGTCTCACCATTGTTTGGTAAATTTTGTAAACTCCTTTGACCTTTGCTGACACTCTTTTGTCACATATCAGTCCTGAAATTTTTCTCCATCCTGACTGGACTCTCTTTTTCACCTCTTTACCACACTCCCCATTTTCCTGGACAGTGGACCCCAAGTACTTGAAGTCCTGCACCTTTGTTCTTAAACTATGTCTTTATTTGATATACGTGTATGAAAACTACACCTGAACCAACTCTTCTGCGTCTTTGTCAATTTTTTGTCCACTCAAATTCGGTTGACTAAGATAGATGGTCAGGCTTCCTGAGCCTGGTTCTGAAAACCATAAAGAAGTTAGAAAATTCTTTAGGTGAGAGGCAAATTCAAGTAATCCGCCTAGGCTGGAGGTCATAACTAATACATCAGCATCCTTCTATGCAACTCAGCATCCATGTGCATGAAAACAATAAAACATTAATAGCCTCCAAACCCAAAAACAGAACTAATGGAAGGTTATTTTGGCATTTTTAGAAACATGGAAAAACAAAACATTGTGCGAACAACCTCTCAGAGATACAAGCTTTCCCTACTCCTGGGCGTCTTGAGAGCATCTCCTCCTTTGTGTGTCCAATCTTCAGAGAGGGAGGAGAGTTTTGGGGACTCCAAGAATAACCACACTGATTTAGAATCACCCATGAGGTTCAGTGGATGTGAGAGCGCGAGCGCACCATGAAAGAGAGGCCAACCTCCGAAAAAGTGCATCGTCTCTAAGAAGCTTTGTGGGAATACAGTCTCAGAGTTTCAAAGGACGATTCAGTGCTATCTCTCTGTGCCAGGTAGCCTGACTAATAACACACTCAAAGCTTCCTGAATGTCAGAGCCTCCTGAGCTCGTTGCCAGGAAATCTGGACTGAAATAGTATATGAAGTAGCGCACAACAGAAACCCACAGCTGCGACTGAAAAAAGTCTAGAGTCAAATAAATAAATAAACTACATACATCCAGTACAAGTCAGAGGGATGAAAAAGAACCGTGGCATTTCCATCTAAAGTTGGTAAGCAAGTCAAATTTGGATGCACCATTTTGGTGACTTATTACTTCAAAAGGATTCATTATTGTGTCTGAAATTACATCAAATCTCAGGCAAAAAAAAATATTTTTTATCAAGCTGCTTGGTATTCTAGAAACTGATGAGTCAGACTGCGCAAAATTAGTCAAAAAGATTACAAGATTTAATTTTCATTTTGTGTCATTTATTTAGTATTTAGTGTATTGTTATAAAGTATTTTACCCTTAATGTTGGGTGAAATGGATTTTGTTTTTACAAAGTGAAGAAAAAAAATTACTGCAATTCGTGAATCCAAAACCTTAAAGGAAATGGAAAAAGTTAAAAAAGTTTTGCTGTGGCAATGTTTTCAGAACATCTACATCTTCTACCGCTTATCTGCAGTCATGGAGGCAACAAGTCCAGCAGAGAAACCCTGACATCCCTCTCTCTAGCAACATCTTCCAGCTTGTACTGGGGGACCCCCGAGGTCAGAAAAGACAGACAATCCCTCCAGCAAACAAATTCTGGGTCTTTCCTGAGGCTTCCTGGAAAACCTCTGAATGGAGGCATCCAGGAGGCATTTTAATCAGATGCCAGACATCAACTGACTCCTTTCAATGTGGAGAAAAAGTGGCTCTACTATGCGCTCCTCCTGGATGACGGAGATCCTCACCTTACCTCTAAGGCTGAACCTGGTCAACCGAAGGAGGCCCATTTCAGC